TGCTTAATCCTTCAGCTTAGTCCACCTACATAATTCTTTAGCTTAGTCCACCTATATATTCCAGAACAAATGTCAGTTGCTATTCTTACTTTTATTGTTATGGTAGCTATAATATTGTTAAAAGTAAGTGGTAAACACAAATGGGGGGTGCTATGTTGTAACTCAGTTTAACCGACAATTGAGTTCGTGTAGTGCCCCCCTCCCTTACTCCCCCCTTTTTTATATACATTCTCTTTTTCTCTTTTTCTTCTCTCAGCCATCATCTTTTCTTTCTTCAGCGGTACCCCCCACATCCCGAAGGGATTAGGGCTAGCTTCGCCAGCCAGCCAGTCAGCTGTAGGCGATAAATTATTTTTATACTGTTTAAAGTATAGTTTTATTTATTCTTATGATAGTTATATACTTAACTTTAGTTCCGGCTGCTCTCACATCCTCTTGGGAAGCTTCGCCAGTAGGGGTGGTTCGCAGGCATGAAAAATTTTAAGAGGTAAGATAAATAGTAGTAAGATTATAATCGGCGCAACATTACTGCATAGCAGTATTTTTTATTTTGTATATTAATTTATATAAGGTGCTCTCCTGCTACGTATGTTTGACTATTATCTCTTATAAGTATATTTAGTGGATAAAATAGGATTAGTAGTCAAGTGGTATGACACAGCTCTTTCAATGCTGGGATCGCGGGTTCGAATCCCGCCTAGTCTACGAGGGACACCTCAACAATAAAAAAATAATAACCGTATTTATCAATAGACGACTCAATTGTCCCTTAATAGGAGGCTATAACTTAATTGGTAAAGTGTACTGCTCATAACAGTTTTTATAAGTGTTCAACTCACTTTAGCCTTATAATGCGGGTTGATGTAACAGTTAACATATTTGGCTCATGCCCAAAAATTGGAGGTGCGAATCCTTTGCCCGCATACGGGGGGGGGGCTTCTTTTCCCTCCATAATCCCCCCCCCCCCTAACCCTCTGCAGCAGAGGGTAAGGGGGGGGGATAACGAATAGGAAGTCCCTTATATAAATCCTTCCCCTAAATAAATTAAGGGGGGGGGGACCCTTCCGGTCCCTAAGGGTCCCGTCAGGGAAGTTGTTATATTATTAAAAAAAATCGTTAAGTCATGAATTATTTTCTACTAAGAAGCAGGCTAGCTTAGACGATTTTAAGGAGTGCTGTTACGCAAGCAGTATAGTTAGCAAGATGAAAAATTGTATAAAGGTAGGTTTAATGCATATAAGCTGAGTGCTGGAATTGGTATACAGGGAATACGCCCCCCCCCTCACGAAGTCTTCCTCTCTCCTTTTTTTATTTATTTTATTGCTCGTTTAAAGTTAATATAGTTAATAAGTTGTTAGTTTATCTTATAAGGTATATGTCAAAACGAATAAGAAATGAAGATGTTGTCTGTATACTATGTCTTCAGGACTTTTTTTTTACTGCTAAGGAGGGTGGTTATCTCCATAGACCGTAATTATATATCATGTGTACAATCCGAGTGCTGGAATTGGTTTACAGGGAGTACTTAAAATGCTCTGACAGAATGTCATAGGTGTTCAAGTCACCTCTCGGATAGATAGTGACTTTAACCGTAGCCTTAACTTCCTTTTGTGGGTGGAACTAACAGATTTTTAAGTTTAATTTTTTGTTTACCTGATGTACTAGTTTTGCGGGAAGCTAAGGTTAAATTTAATTTAAGGTGTAGAGGTAACTATTGGGTTAGTTGGTTCAGAAATAGATGCTTGATCTGACTCACTTTGGCTAAGTCTCCTGTTGTACGTATTACATTTTTATCTTGAAATTTTAGCTATTTATAGCTTTGTAGCAGATTATAAGCCTAGGGAGGGGTACTTTGGTTAGCTATGTTTTACTAACATATCTTGCTGATCAGATGACTAGTTTAATTAATAACTACTCCTCCCCTGAAAATAAAAATCCAAGTACTGGTTCATTATTACTTGGCACCGTCTCCTTTAGGGATGGTCGTATTATAGCAAAGTGTAGTCGCCTTTCAAGGGTGCAGTCAGACACTATGCCGGTGCATGCTCGAGCACGAGCTTCAGGAAATACTCAGATACACACCCTACGGGAAGGACTAGTTCATGCGTGAAAAGTTGCATCACGTACTCAACATAAGTTGTTCAACAGCTGGGATAGCCTCTCAATAGATAGGATTTTTATAAACAGAAAGCAATACCAAGTAGATGACATGAACAACCATTTACAGTGGACCACCCTAATTTTGCTGCGTAGTCAGCCTGAGGAGGTAGGCCATAAGTGAGCAAGGCTGAAATTAGTGCCAGAAACGAAATGTCGTAGTAGCTCAGATCAGTGAAAGACGTAACGTGGTGTATGTTAAAGAGTAGCTGAATTATCAGTAGACTATTGAGTATAAAGGTGGTCGCTGGAACAGTGGACCAATGATGCGTAAAGGAAAAACCGTGTAGCCTCTCAAGTACACTGTCTGGTCGTAGTGGATAGGCAGGGATAGATATCAGCAACAAACTCTTTAAAAGATAAGCCTATCAGGATGCAAGGTCTGAGCAGCCGGTGCAATATTTATATTTATATAACATGAAAAAATTAACATCTATTATACAATTATTATTTTATATACCGTTGGCTTTTTCCTTTTTCAGTGGGTTTCCGTTTATCATTCTTAATCATCGGAGCACTGCCACTACTTGCCGTTTCAAACCTTCACGTTCTTTCCCTGTTAATATGCGGTTGTCCTTTTCAACTTTAACTAATGTCGGTGGAAATAGGGTTGCTGTTTCTTATCCTAATGCGGACACTCAAGTATCTACTATCCTTAAGGATAATAAAGGTAAAGCAGGTATTTACAGATGAGTCAATATAAAGAACGGAAAATCTTATATCGGTTCATCTAAAAATTTATCTGTTAGACTAAAACAATATTATACAACTAGCTTTATACAAGCAGAATTACTAAAAAATAGTAGTTACATTTATAGAGCTATTCTTAAAGATGGTTTTTCTAGTTTTAGACTAGAAATTTTAGAGTATTGCGATCCAGCTAAAGTGATTGAGAGAGAGCAAATCTATCTTGATAGATTCCAGCCAAGTTACAATATTTTAAGATATGCAGGATCTTTATTAGGGTTTAAACACAACGATCAAACTAAAGAGTTGATTAGTAAAACCAACAAAAATGCTATAAGATCAAGCGATCTTAGATTAAGAATAGCTACAACACTATCTAAAGGTGTCACTATTTTTGTTAAAAATAGTGAGACCGGAGAAACTAAATCTTTTGTTTCCATTAGACAAGCCGCCGGATTTATCCAAATTCAGTTTAGTTATCTTGCAAAACAGCTTAATAAAAATAAATTTTATTTAGGAAGAGGGTTCTTTGTGTACAGTTCTTCTGAAAACCTGGAGAATATACTTAAGAGTGAAGCTTATATTTCAGCTATAACAAAAAGTAACAATAAGGCATAGCTTAAAAAATTTAGCGAGGACAAAAAATTAAATATAAGTATTCTAAAATCACCGGCTAGGCTACGCAATCGATAAACGTGCTTCGCTAAAAAATAGAATAGTACAAAAGAGAGAGATACTCATCGTAAAATAAAATTTTAATAACTATTAATTCTTAACGGGCATTTATATTAGCTTTCCATTAATCAGGTTATCTATTCAGTAACAATAGTTACCTTATGTTGTGTGGGCGTAATGAAGGTGATACCTCTTTTCGCCCACCTACACCAATCAAATAAAGATATTATACTTAAAATGTTCTGAGGATATCTCATGGGTGTTCGAGTCACCTCTCAGCTAGAATTATTGTTGTCATTAGTTTTTCAACCTTGTTCAATAATAATTACATGATTTAAGTATATGCCTTAAATAAAGCTAACTCTTCTGCCTCCGCCCCCCCCCCCCTCCACTCCTTTTTAGTGGAGGGAGGGAGTTAGTTAAAGTAATGCATCAGATGGTAGGTCTTCGATGACCAAGGGAAAAGGTTGACGCCTACCTTTTTTAATCCTTATCCCCTACGAAGTGCTACTTCTCCTTATCCCCCCCCCCCAGGGGGGGGGGGTAAGGGCGGTATTATATCTTAATTTAATTAACTTGAAGGTGAAAGTCTTCACTAATATATGATAGATATGAGACTAGGAATGTTTAAATTATATTCTTCTACTTAAATATTAGGTGGTTGGTCACAAGTTCAACCAAGCATCCTTAAATATTACCTTACTTTGTTTAGAATTTAATAACGTTGGAGAACTAACCCATAATGTTCATAAGTAATCCCTTTAAGGCCTTATATTGTATAGTTTATAATGTGAATAAAATACGAAGAGAGATAGAAGAAAATTAAGTAGCATTATAGGCGGGGTTAAGGTAAATCCCTTAACCTACAATACCCTTGTATTACGGTATGAATGAATATTAATTTATATTGAACTACGCTTCGCTTATCCGTTATCCCCCCCCCCCCCTACTGCCCACCCATCCATCCATCCATCCATCCATCCATCCATCCATCCACCCTACGGCAGGCAGGCAGGCAGGCAGGCAGGCAGGCAGGAGGAGAAGTAGTAGGGGGGGGGGTTATGTAGGGGATTAGGTATTATCTGTCTATATTATTGATGTTTTTTTAGCATTAAAGGCTTTTATTATTAATATTCAATAAACTGTCTCAAACAAATAATGAAACAAAAGAGACATTAGAGTTTTCCTCTGTAGTGTTGGCAGGTAAATGTTTAATGTAGACGAGTCTTATGTTTGTAGGTGTATAAAAAACAACAGACCCACTAAAAAAAGTTGGTCCCCCTGGCGGGTGGACCTTGTAAAGGCCACACTGTAGTTAAAAATGTTATCTGTTAGCTAAATTTTGCCGAGTGTTGGCCTTTTTGCTTTAGGAGTGTATGTGTGTGTTATCGTTTTAGCTATAATATCCGTAGACAAAACGAGAGCAGGGAGGAGACTGGTGAAAATCCATGAACGTTCAAGTTGTTTCTCGGATATTCTAAGGGGGTATAGTCTAGTTGGTAAAACTCTAACCTTGCATGTTAGTATCCCAGGTTCGATTCCTGGTACCTCCATCTCGCTTCGTAGAGCTCTATTTTTTTTTTTATCTTATTATTAACAATTATTTTTAACTATTTTCACAAATTTTTTCACTTTTTCCTTACCCTCTGCATTAATGCAGAGGGTTAGAGAGCTACATACAGGGAGGGAATATATATTTTTAAAACGGTGTTACGAAGTAAGCAGCCCTACTTAAAAGGTGTTGTGCGGTAGAAGGAAGGATGGCTACGTACAGGAAGGAGCAGAGATCCCGCCCGCCCATCCATCCATCCACCCATCCACCCTACGGCAGGCAGGCAGGCAGGCAGGCAGGCAGGCAGGCAGGAGGAGAAGTAGCACTACGTAGGTGATCCCCCCCCCCCCCCTTCGCTACTTCGTTGTGGATCTATTTATTCCCTTTTACGTGAAAGTAACGCATCGGTGTGTGATAGGAAGAAGGATATCCAGATACATAGCTCGAGAAGCTCAATTGGTAGAGCAGAGCATTGAAGCTGCTTTGGTTGTAAGTTCAAGTCTTATCTCGAGCATTCGTATATTTCGGCTGCGTAGCTAGAAAAGGGGTAGTGATGGAATTGGTAGACACTCCCCCCCCCCCCCTCTCTCTTCTTTATTTACTTTGTTACACATTTAAAGCTAATATGTTGTTAACTTGAAAAATTTTTTAGGATTAAATAAGAAATGGATATGTTATGTCGACTGTCTATCTAGTTAATAGCCCCATCGTTAACCAGTAGGTGGGGCGAACTAATTTATCTTGTAAATCTGAGTACTGTAATGGGTAAACAGTGAGTAGTTAGTTACTTAGATTTCTTTTTTTTTTTTTATCCTAGGTGTTCAAGTCACCTCTTCCGCCCACCCATCCATCCATCCATCCTACGGCAGGCAGGCAGGCAGGAGGAGAAGTAGCACTACGTAGGGACCCCCCCCCCCTCCACTCCTTGCCGTATCTTTTTCACTATAGTGAAAAAGATTGTGGAGGGAGGGCAGATGAAAATTATCATTATCTCGTAAGATGTATAGGTTTTTACAATAATGGTAATTTATTTTATTTAAGCTAATAGCTTAAATAAAGCTAACTCTTCTGCCTCCGCCCCCCCCCCCTCCACTCCTTTTTAGTGGAGGGAGGGAGTTAGTTAAAGTAATGCATCAGATGGTAGATCTTCGATGATCCAGTTAAAGGAAAAGGTTGACGCCCTACCTCCTTTAACCCCGGCGGTCTTATTTTAATTAACATGAAGATGAAAGTCTTTACGTAATATATATTTATAGATATGAAAGAACGGATTTAAATGGTTGATTATTCTTATTTAATATAAGATGGTTGGGTCACAAGTTCAACCGAGCATCCTTTAATATTACTTCGTTTACAGTTACTTCCTCTAACCCTCTTCATTGATGAAGAGGGTAGGGAGGACCCTCTTAACCCTCTGCATTAATGCAGAGGGTAAGAGGACCCGAGAGGGTAGAAGTTTATTTTAACAATAATTGAGAACTATTATAATCGCTACTCTTAATAGCATTAAATTTGTAATTTATTGTATATTATTTTATATTTAAATGAATATTTAGTCTTGTCTCTTTACAATAGTAAATTAAACCTAGTAATTGCATAACGGCGCACACTTTGTACGCAGGATAACTTACCCATAACGTTCGCTAGTAATCCCTTTAAGGCCCTTATATTGTATAGTTTGTAATATTAATAAAAACCCGATAGAATATAACTAAGTAATAATACGAGCGTGGTTAAGGAAGAAAATCCCTTAAGCTGTAATAACCTTATATTTTGAAGAGAATAATAATAATCTATAATGAACTTTGGGACACGAAGTGCGCCTATCAATATATATTGACGTTTCTTTAGCGCGCAATATAAGACTTTTAATTATATTAATAGAAACTGTCTCAAACAACACTTAATTTTAATAACAATAAGCTCACAGCTGAAACAGCAGTAGAGAAAAATAGTAGCAAGCCGCAATCTCAACTTATAAAAATATCTCCAGCAGTTATATATCCTAATGTTTATTCATCTAAAGTCCAAATTCTTAATGATAATGGAGATAAAGTAGGAGTTTACAGATTTGTAAAGTTACTCACAGGTAAAATTTATATTGGTTCATCTTGTAATTTGTCTGCTAGATTTATAAAGTATTTTTCAATGAACTTTTTGTCGCCCCCCCCCCCCGCAAGCTTGCGGGGGGGGGGCGATGAAAAATAAACTAAAAAGAATAAAAGTAAAATATATAGTTACCTATTCGTTACCCCCCCCCCCTAACCCTCTGCTGCAGAGGGTTAGGGGGGGGGGATTATGGAGGGAAAAGAAGCAACCCTCTGGGTGTGGAACCCCCCCCCCCCCCCAAATCCCTTCGGGGGTGGTTCTATGTTAAAAAACGGGTATTCCAATTTTAGACTTGAAATATTAGAATACTGTGATAAAGATGTGGTGCTAAAAAGAGAACAGCATTACATTTACACTTTAAAACCTGAATACAATATACTTAAAATTGCCGGGTCTTTATTAGGATTTCAACATAGTCCAGCTACAAGAGATCCTTCCCTCCCTCTTACCCTCTGCAGTAGTGCAGAGGGTTGGGAGGATCCCCCCCCCCCCTTGTGGGTGGATCTTATGAAACTAAAACACCAATCGATAAATAAACAGATTTCAGCTGAGACTAGAATTAAGTTGATTACAACAAGGCAGAACGGAGAATCGGTGATCGTAGTTAATCAAACTACTGGAGAAAAGATATCATATTTAACTATTAGAGAGGCCTCCGAAGGAAGGATTTATAGGTATTCATCGTAGTTATTTAGCAAAGTCCATTAAAACTAATAATTTTTACCTCCCCACCCTCCACAATCTTTTTCACTATAGTGAAAAAGATACGACAAGGAGTGGAGGGGGGGGGGGGGGTCCCGCACTTCTTCCAGCCTGCCTGCCGTAGGATGGATGGATGGGCGGGGAAGGAAGAGGATTCCTAATTTACAGATCATTTACTTCTTTACAAGAAATTATCAGTAGCGAAGCTTATATAGCTGCTGTTAATAAAGAAAATAGTGGTAAAGGTGAAGCTAAACATACGGACAAATCGAAAGAATTGTTACGAAAAGCTAATCTGGGTAAGAAACTTAGTGCCGAAGCAAAAAAAACTAACCTTAAATACTGGAAAGGCTAAAGCCATTGTAGCCCAAAATATTGAAACTAAGGAAATGTTTGAGTTTACTTCAGTTGGTGCCGCATCAGAGTCTTTAGGTTTTAGCAGATCGTATATTAGCAAATGTATTAGTAGCAATAAAATTTGTAAGGGTTATACTATATTTTTAAAGAAAAATATTCTATAGGGATCTATTCTATTATTAAGCAAAAGTAATGAGGGTGGATCCGAACTGACTCGCTCTACTATTTATATTATAGATAGTATCTCGGTCAGGGTTTATAATTTAGACTATAAGGTATAGTAACCCCCAAGGGAGGTGTAGAAATTGGTAAACTGGGGTAATTTAGGCTTATCTGGTCGCAAGATCTTGCAGGTTCGAGTCCTGTTCTCCCTATCTATTTTATTATTTGTGTGTAGGAAGCCGCGAAGTAGTTAAGCGGCGAACCCTAATCCCTAACCCCCCCACCCTACGTAGTGGTACTTCTCCTGCTGCTGCGAAGCTAGCTAGCGTGGTCGACCCCTCCGGGGTTGATGAGGGATACGATAAGCAAGTAAGTTCGGTTTATACTACTTCAGATTTAAGGTAGAAAATTAGAGGGTGAGTTTATTTATCTCCCCCTCCTCTCATAAAGGATTATCTGATCGTGAGATCGTGCAGGTTCGAGTCCTGTTATCCCTATCTAGTCTATTCTTTGAAGGCTAGGCCTATTTTATTAAATCGTGTACGTTCGAGTCGTATTTACCCTAAATATCTTGTGGACTTTCTTCCACTAGAAATTAACTTTTATCTGCTTTTATAAACCACCGCCGGCTGGCTACGCAAAAAATTAAAAATAAACAAGAAATAGGTAGATTATGCCTCTCTTGGGATTTCTCTTGACATTATCTCGTAAGGCCATTAGCTCTTTCAACAATAGAAATTTATTTTTTTTTTTTCATGATTCAGTGTTTAATATGAGCTACTTTTCCTTTCCTAATCCTCTGCAGTAGTGCAGAGGGTGGGAGGGGAGCGGTTAAATTAATGTATTGTATAGAATAAGTAAGTATTCTTTCAATAGAATAAGTTACTATTTAATCTTTTTTAAATAAGCATTAGACGCACTGTTTGTTAGACTCTCACAATGCTGAAGCAGCTGCAGATTCTAAGCGGGCTAGTATCCCGAACTGCTTGAGGCACATGCACACGGTAACGCCAAGAAAATACAGGCTTATCCCCCCCCCCTGCCCACCCATCCAACCATCCATCCATCCATCCATCCATCCACCCTACGGCAGGCAGGCAGGCAGGCAGGCAGGCAGGCAGGCAGGAGGAGAAGTAGTAGTGTGGGGGGGGGATTAGGAGAGGGTAGTTTCCCCCCCCCCCCTCCCCCCCCCCCCCGAGTCAACTTTTAATAATATCAAGGCTCTAAAAGCAGAAATGAATACTAAGAGAAAGGATTGAACTTTAAATCATAAAATTAACATTACTCCATACTGGCTTTTAGGTTTCGTAGAAGGTGACGGATCCTGAAACGTGAATAAGCAAAATTTCCTTTTAAGTTTTTCTATCGCACAATCTTCTTCCCCCTTACCCTCTGCTGGAGTGCAGAGGGTAAGGGGACCCCCCCCCCCCCCCCTCCACTCCTTGTTAGTGGAGGGAGGGAAGGATTTCGAATTAATGGTGGCGATTAAAAATTACTTAAATAATCTAAGTAGCCGTTTTAATGATGTAGTGAATCTATCCTTCGGCCGAATATACAAAAGCAAGACGGCTAGTAAATCGGATATGATTAATTTAAATGTTACAAAAAAAACTGAGTTTATCCATCAAGTGCTTGTTCCCTTTTTTCATAAAATGACATGAGTAAGTAAAA